CATCGTCAGATCGACGTGCTTCCCTGGAGGCCGATTTGTCCTTACTACTTACGGACTCTAGCAATCGTACACGTGCACGACAGCATGGTCGATCTCATATTCAATAGCACAGTCACCTTTATTTGGTTGAACATGAGATATGGTTCGATTAAGGCATGCACAATTGTCAGAGGAAAGATACACAGATATCTTGGAATGACTTTGAATTTCTCGGTGAAAGGAAAACTCAAGATCCGCATAGACGACTATGTCAAGAACATGTTGGAGGATTTTCCTATCAAGTTCAACAAGGATTCAAAGCAGGAAACACCAGCTGCTGGTAACGATTTACTAGAAGCTGGTAAAGGAAAGTTTCTCAATGCCGAGTACCGTCAAATCTTTCATACTACTGTTGCAAGGGGACTTTATGTCTCTAAGAGTCTAAGAGAGCTCGTTTGGATAGGATTACTATTCTTGCCTCAAATCGCATCTGTCTGTCTCCATCGCAATGCACAACAAAGGCATTGTCAAAATCAGTATCCATGGTAATGCGGTATCCCGCAGCAATCATCTCGCGCATAGCAAGTACATTGGCAATTCTGTCTTCATCATAATAGACTGGAGGCGGAAATCTTCCTAGAAACCCTTCTTCATCGAGAACTCTGCTGCCCACGTTAGTGTGCATATCGAGTTCTTTCTCAGCTTGACGTAGTCCATGCATGAGCTCACCATTACAAATGGTGGTGTTGGTGCAACCACTGTCCATGATGACGTGATCGAGCAACCCAAACGGATCTCTTTCGATTCTGCGGCTTTGAATAAACTGCATACCTTGATCTGCTTCAGTAGCAAGATGAGGCAAGTCTTCATTTTTACTAGCATAGTGCCAGTCGGATTGAAGTTCGACATTAGTCGTACCAGTAGGACATGGAATAAGATAGACAGCATTGCCATTCTCATCCTTTCCCTTGATAGCATCGTGGAAGACATTTGACGTATCAAAATAGCCAGTCTTCACAACCTGCGGAGTTCAAGCTTGAGTTGAATCAAATCCTTGGCGCACTTGAGCACCACTGAAGCCTTGTTGGCTGAGTTGCATTCCACTGAACGCAATCTCACCGTTAGCATTCATAGAATAAGGGCCAGTCACAGTGCCACCACCTTGAGTTGGTATCTGCATCAGTTGCATTCCCAAAGGAACTTGCATCATCTGATTACCTGTAGTACCAGTAAGTCGCAAAGGTGTGTTAACGCTTCCCGCAACACTCGATGTTCCACCAGTGATAATACTTGTCGCTGGAGAAGCTCCAGGAACTGTAGCTGGGACAGTTGCTCCAATAATCAATATAGTGTTTCGGATGTTTCCATTGAATCTCTGGTAGCAGTCTGTCTGGGCATTTTGGAGACATATGGTCCTTGCTGCTGTACATAACATGCTGCCTTTTTCTTATCGTCCTTCGGTTTACCTTTACCTTTACCTTTATTAGGCTGGTCTTTTCCTTGGTAAAGGTTCACTCCCGGATTCTTGATCACATCCATGTGAATCTTCAACATATCTTGCGCTTTGCTGACCGTCTTTGGATAGTAATCCACTTCCCTGCAGTAGTTCGTCTGAAGATCCAGCATCAGAGAAGCTGTTCTCGTTCGATCGCAGTTGCACAGAAATCCTGTTGCAATAACTGCTTCAAAGATATCATCCTTGAACTTGTCTCTAGCAGTAGTATCGGTGCTAGCAATAGCAGCATACGCTTTCGTCTTGACTGCAAAATTTCGGAACCAGGCAACGCCATATAGATCTTGCATGACTTCAGCCTGTCTCAAGAATCATTCCTTGAAATGCATCAAGTTTTTGGTTGTTCCTTGCTTCATAGCAAAGAAATTTTGATTTGCTTCCCAGAAATCCAAGAAGTCATACTCAGCATCAGCACTCTTCTTCATGAATCGTTCAATACGTTTGAAGAGTTCGATTGGATCTTCAAGAGTAGTCGTAAAATCGGCTTCACCTTGAAGCTTGATATCCATCGCCTTCGTCACAAACTTCAACATGATGTTTGATTTGACGGTTCGCTTGTTCGTTTCAAAGTAGGCTGATCTTTGCATGTTCTTGTTGAGCTTTGCAGAATAGAGAATCTTGTTTTGGGCCATCTCTGTTTCTCTTGCAACAGCTTCAGTTTGAGTTGGAGCATTCAATGTTGGAGCGATCGCATTGAAGTCGATCGACTTTCCATCTCGAATTGACTTCACCATGTCTTCGGAACATTTCATTCCAGAAGCTTGGATATAGTCAATCACTCTTTCTTCGGCATCTTTGTACGACGATCTTGCCTTTCCATCGTTTTCATCTTTTGTTGAAAATAGATGTTTCACAACTGTTAAACTCGAATTGCTCTTGACTTTCTGAGGAGTCACACGTCCCTTTCCACCACCGCATGAGGAACGTCCCATAGTCAACAAATCGCTCACTCCTTTGTAGATAAGGCAGTGCTGTTCTTGACGTAAATTTGTTTTGTTGCCTTTTGTGATTGAATGTTAGAATAAAGCAAAATGTGCTCTATCGTGAGTGCCTTTAGCGCTCAGAACAAACT